ATTGTGTTCTAGTCCAATAAATAACAAGTGAAATAAAATATCTATTCTATTCCGATCTTTTATTTAATTTACCCACTAACATTCTCGTTTGCGCACAAGTGATTTTCTCATTTGCCCCTAAGATATAGGGTTTCAATATACAGTGGTCCCTTGATTAGCGACACAATTGATTCCACAGAGTCGTTCGTTAACCGAAAATTTCGTAAACTGAATCTATTATTTCAATGGGATATTGGGTAATTGGTTCCAACTCACAGAAAAAGTACATACAGTGATCCCTCGGTTAACGAATTACCTTCCATAAGATTCTTCACTTCGGTTAACGAATTCCTTACGAATTTTTCCCAACATGTTTTCGCCTTCTCACCAGCTGTAGTATTAGTCCGCCAATACAGTAATCGGTTTTAGGGCTTAAATTCGTTACCATTTGAGTAAATATCAAGAAGGTTGTACTATTCAATAATTTACTAAGTCTAATATTAAAGTTTTTAGTCATTTTAACAATTATTTAACATAATTGAAGTACAGGGAACTAGTTTTTAGCACGCCAAACAGCCACTCAACACACCCAAAATGGCATCAGTGTGTCCCTGCTCAGTGGAGGAAGCTTCTTGCTTGAGACTCTCTTGAACATAAACTATTTTTACGTTTTTACAGTACAATTATTGGTAATTCTGAAGTTTATTTTACATATTGACAATATATAATGCAGTGCAGTGTTGATTTAAAGAAAATTATCTTGAATTACACCAAGTGAACTAAAATTTTATGGGTGAAATGGTAGCATGGGGTGACTTCTCTTCCACCACAATGCCTTCTCTTCTCCCTTCTCTTCCACCCCCACTTCTAATTCCCATTATCATCATCATCAACCAGGAGCCTTCTACATACACACCTCAAAGTAAGTGTACTTTACTGCATTTATTTTTAGTTTGTATATAATTTTCAGTGAGCCGGAACCAATTACCCAAAATCCCATTGAAACAATGGTTTCAGTTAACGAACGACCTTCTAGAACGAATTGTGTTCGTTAACCGAGGGACCATTGTACAAAGTACTGTATACCGGTAATAGAATTAAACATGACATATAAACTAAATGCAGTACAGTAGTGTACAGTATACTGTACAATAATAAATAAAAAACAATAGAACATTGTATTTTAACTTACTTTGAGGTGTGTATGTCGTATTCCCGGCAGCTTTGTTTACATATCAAACAGCTGATTGTAGAGGCAGCTGATGATGACATGCCACATTCTTTACAGAGTGCTTTGGTTCTAATGCCTTCTTCATGTTTCATAATTTCTGCACTGTATATTATCAATAGTGAACTAAATTTCAGAATGACCAATAATTTTAATGTAAAAATGCAAAAATATTCAAGAGACCACAAACTAGACGTTCACTCCACTGTAAACAAAGTTAAACTGAGAAGCGTTGGTGGGTGATTCGATCAGCTGATTGGCACACAAAAACTGTTCCTTGTACTGTATATACATGTATTATCAATATGTTAACTAAATTAAAATGACCAATAATTTTCATATAAAAAATGCAAAAATATTCAAAAGCACAAATTTCTTGATATTTACTCCACTGGAAACGAATGTAAACATAGAACCGATTACAAATACTGTATTGGCGGACTAACCGATCAGCTGATGCGCACAACAAAGCATGTTTCTCGTAAGGCTTTCATTAATCGAAGTTTTGTTCGTTAATGGAATTGAAAATCCTTATGGGAGCTAATTCGTTAAACGAAATTTCGTTAATTGGACCGTTTGTTAATCGAGGGACCACTGTATATATATAAATAATGGCCAGTAATATAAAATTATGTGACTTCAATGGAAGATAAACTATTTATCGTTGCAATTTACACTATCTGACATATCTACTTATGATATTGCCCATTATTATGAACACAGAAAAAAAAAAGTGTTTTCCCACAAGATCGTAAATTTACCCCAAATATTATTGCTCTTTGGATGACTTTTTAATTGTTAAATATGCATTCCTCGCATTTTTTTTTCAATAAAAAAGTAGTTAAAACATTAATGTAAGCATTTAATTTTTTATTTTTTTATTTTGGTACTTATTGGGGAATACAGCCGAAATTGGCCGACGCGGTGAAGGGGTTAAAAAATTCTGGCTTTGGGAATGACTTTCCGAGCAAATTTAAATTCCGGCTATCAGAGATTTCCGGGTTTGAGGGGTTCCAGCTAACGGAGATATTACAGTATATCAACAAAACTTGCGGGGTATTTCCCCTATATGTAATCGTCGATTATGCAAAGCAGCGGTTATTGGGGCGTCAATTTTGAGGGTATACCTGTATATAAGTAGTTGTTGGCAACTTCTAAATACTGTACAGTATTTACTAAAATATTTATTACTTCTCCAAGATATGAAATATTAGACATATTCAATGTTTAATTAAATATTCTGTCATTGTGCATTTGTAAATAAGTGATGTGCTGCTTTAAATTGGTTGCATAGATTTATATAATTGATATCCTGGTATAGGGTACACTGTACAGTAAAAGGGCTATGGTATAATTTCCTAGGAAAGATATTTAGTTGTAGGTTGTATGACTCAACATACAGTACAGTTAAAACGCTTTAAAAAGAAAAAAATGTGTTTGATAGTTAGACTTTGGCCTGGACCCCTCAGTGACCAACCACTCACACAGAAGGGTCCAGCCTAGGGTGGCCATACGTCCGGCTTTTGAGCACTCTGTCGTCTGTCCGGCGCGACCTCGAGCCAGACGTTAATTTTTCCTCCTTTTTGTTGTCTGACTTAAAAGAATTAAATAAATTACCTTAGGTATACTTAAAACAGCGGGAACTGAAGGCCATAATAACTATTAACGTATTTTTATTATATGTAGTTGCCGTTGTCAACACTGCTGATGAGCCGCAGTGCACGACAGTACGAGTCAAGTTGTCAACACCGTCAACACGTCCGAGATGGTCAGTCTGCCCAAGGCCGCAGTGGAGAGTGGTTGACATTTTTATTCTTGCTTCAATTTGGTTAGCATATGCTGTTTCAGCAGGAGTAAAAATGAATATTCATTTCTTTCAGTTCTTTATTTATACTGTATGAATGCATGTATGTAATATATACAGTGCATTTAAAAAAAATTAGAAAAATTACCACAAAATAGCATTCATCACATGATAGTGATATTCAACAATTCTTCAAGTATATTTTGTATATTTTATACAAATTTTTATATAATTTCAACTGATCATTAAACATGCTTAATTTTAGTTAAAAAATAGGTCGCAAAAACAAAATTTGAAAAAAAAAATTCCTCCTTTTTGGAAATGGCCACCCTAATCCAACCCCAATATGCAAAAATGACAAAAAACAAAAAATTCCAGAGTCCGCGACACATTTGGCCCCAAGGTTTTCGGATAAAGGATTCTTAACCAGTAATCATAATAATAATACAGCGCAACATTACAGGAAGAGAATTTTGGAGTACAAGACTTATGAAAAAAAATTTCAACAACCTAATTAATTACTCAGGTATCATAAGTCTTTCAAATCTAAATTTCATATATCACATCTAACAACATTCACTGAAAGCCATGTGTATGGTGAAACATGAAGACAAATAAATATTTGGGAGGTGGGGGTGATATGATTAGAAAGATAAACAAGTGAAAAAAGACTGAAAGGATTTGGTCATGGAAAGTGTAACAGTGGGGAGGGGGGGAGGGGATATGATGCATTATGTGAGGTGAGATAATATCAGGATAGGTTAGGTGAGGTGAGGTTTTTGGCTGGATTAGGTTTATCAAGGTAAGTCCAGTCAATTCAAGTAAGGTCATATCTAGTCAGTTAATATCTATGTTGTATAGAATTAAATAAGAGGAAGATAACAGGAGTCAGGTCAGATTAGGTCATTATCTAAGCTCTCAAAGACTGTATATAATTATGACAAAAATAACATCAATTTGGTTAATACATTGTTAATGTTCTGGAAACTATGAGAGGTGTATGATATATCTCTGGGAACACTGGAGAAAAACAGACTAAAATTAGAAGACCGCATGGAAAGGCATGTCTAAACTATCAATTACCTCAATGAGTATAATGAGTACTGTGGGATCTCATTTTAAGTTGGTCTCATACATGAGTACTGTACAGTATAAAGATATAGAGAGATGGTTAGTGATATACTGTACAGTACAGTATACACATAGATGATTGGAGACATAAATAATTTTTTACTCTTTCAAGCCTTTTCCTGTATATTTATGACTGGAGATGAGCAAATACTTCAATACATATTTACCTTTGAATCACAGCCAATCATTCATTCTTCCCAGTGTACAAGATGCTTATGGTGATCTCATCTCACAACAAAAACCCAAATCTGGTTCACCCATGTCTCATCTCACAAACCAGCATTACATCTTTTCCCAAATATCAGTCAATGTCACACTCATCCATCTGTTGCTTCCAAGATGCTTATCCCCTAATCTCTAATGCACCCTTCCTGGTCTTCCTCTTTTTGTCCAATCATCTGATACTGAATTACATATTGCACAGTTTTTGCCAAACTTTCAATTTTCATTCTATTAATATGTTCACAACTTTTCTTTCATCTAATTTTTCTAATTAAATGGTCATGGAAAAAGGCTTGAAGGATTAAAAAAAACATTTATTAGCTATCTAAATACAAAATATTCAAGCAACAGAAGCCCTTTTGCCATTACCAAACAGTTAGGGATATTCATTAGTAAGTTAGCATAAATATTAGATTTAAATTAAGTTTTGTGATTTTTTTTTCAACAACTAGTATGAGAACTTGGAATAAAAAATCTGAATGGCATTCACAATACCAAAATCACCTGCAACACTTGCATTCAACCTACCTGGTGTACAGATCCCCCCAACGGAATTTCTGCGAGGGGATCCTACATAAGCTAGACCAAGGATACCCCCTTCAAACTTTATGTCCGTGAAGAGATGTGCCAAGCAGTAATCCTTATGAGAGTATTCACGGCTAAACACCTTTAAAGGGGTAAAGGAAAAGCCATTTTGCATTTAAGGTAGAAATAAGTCCAAACACCTGCAGGGTAGAGAAAATCAAGCAACGGATCATATTTGGTGAAAACCACGAATAAATTTCCTCCATCATTTATAATATGAAAATGTAAAACCTAATTGTGGTATATAATGTATATCCATGCAATAAATATTAGTGAAAGAAGAGATGGAGAAAACCTATTGTGGTTCACTAATGCTGTAGATAAGTCACCTGATAATAACCAATGGCAAAGTTTTTGAAGCTCTACGAATACTACGGTATTCTAAATAATGTATTCCCCAAAGAGCACAATGTTAGTATTCTTCGAATGTTTGAATTCTGATCCTTAGGTAGAAATTTTCCCTTAGTACTGCTCCAACTAAGAAGCTTCACCCAATATGCCACACATCATAAACCTGGTACTACTAGATACAAACCAAGCACAGACTAAAGTAAAACCTTATCGAGTAGAATTCTGTCAAGAGCTGCATTATTTTTTTTCAAATACAATATTAAATAGGAATAGAGCATAATTAATGTTACAAATGTCACACTTTCAGGAATTCAATGCTAATGTGCTCCTGTTAATGTTGCTACAGCTATGCTGTATTGGTCAAAGTAATTAATACTGTATACATTATTCTTGTGAGTGAATATTTTTTAAGAAAGATTATATAGCAAGGACATAATATGATGCACAATGTTTCTGAATACAGAAAAGTACAATAGAGTAGAATTTAATCAGCCAGAAAAGGGCTAAGTTAGGTCAGGTCACTGAGGTAGAATGTCAGATACAGGTTGTACCTCTCTAGTCCGGCATTCTGTGGTCCGGAAACTCCCGTGGTCCGGAACGATTTTAGTTTGTCCAATAGGTAGATAGGCAGTTTTTTTTTTTTTTTTTTACTTATCTGAATTATTATTATTATTACAGGAGTATTAAATTTTTGCCCCTCAGGCCCCAATGTGGGTCAGTGACCTATGCCCGGGTGGGCTAATCCCCTTAAAAAAAAAAAAAAGCCGCGGGAAATTAAGGTTTGTTTACATCCGGCAGTTCGGCTGCTCTCTCTCTCTCTGCTTGTCTATACAGAGTACAACATTTAACCCTTCAATATATATGAGCAGTAAATAAGTGTTGCTTTCATATTCTTATGTAGAGTAATGACGATATATTTTCACATGTGCGCACTTACATACGAGCAGTCTCACTTTTTTTTACCATTAATGGTTAGCTACTTATATTGTTCCATTTATTAACATTAAATAACATTACAGGTACTTCAAGCAACCATATTCATTTTTTACATTAATTTTACTACAGCTAAACTCAGGGTCTTATTTTCTTCAGTTTTATATGTAGAACCAATCAGTCACTGGTTTCGTAAGCTTTAACATAAACAATGCCGGCAGCCGTCTCGTCTCTAATATTCCACGTATTATTAATAAATTGTATTGTTAATTTTGCACACACGTACATTAATTCAATAAAAACAAATTCAGAAACATTAATTAAAATATATATGAACAGTAAATAAGTGTTGCTTTCATATTCTTATGTAAAGTAATGACGATATGTTTTCACGTGTGCGCATGCGCACTTACATATGCGATCTCTCTTTTTCTTTACCATTATCGTTAGCTACTTCTATTGTTCCATTTATTAACATTAAATAACATTACTTAAAACAACCATATTAATTTTACTACAGCTACAACCAAGGTCTTATTTTCTTCAGTTTTATATGTAGAACCAGTCAGTCACTGGTTTTGTAATCAACGAAAACAATGCTGTGTCATTTCCTCGTGTGTTTTAATATTCTACGTATTATTAATGAATTGTATTGCTCATTTTGCACACATAAACATTAATTCAATAAAAAAGACATTCAGTAATAAACAATAATGAATCTTTTGTACATAAGAGAAATGACGCTGTTTACACGATTATGCACGTCGTCTGCACGTTGGCGGGCCGTTCAAACCTCGTCGAAATTCAAGTTTCCGCCGTCAAAGTTTTTATTTATTTATTTTTTTGTGTGTTCCAATAAAATACGTTAAGAATTAAAAACTCGCGAAATTTGAGAAGCTATTATACGACATTTAACCCTTCAATATGTCTTCAAAGAGACCATGACGCAGAGAAAGTGGTGCTAGTGCTTCCAGGCATAAACACAAGTCACTATCTATCCAGGAAAAGGGTGAATTTCCATGGTCCGGCACCGGTCAGGTACAACCTGTATATGTGATGCAGCAGGATGTCAGAGTACTGTGGGTAGTAAAATATCAAGTCACTGTAGGACAACAAAAGTCAAACCTCTGAGGGGGGTAACAAAATATTAGGTCAATGTACAGTAGCAGAATGTCTGGACAATGTGGGGCAGCAGAATGTCTGGACAATGTGGGGCAGCAGAATGTCTGGACAATGTGGGGCAGCAGAATGTCAGGACAATGTGGGGCAGCAGAATGTCTGGACAATGTGGGGCAGCAGAATGCAACAGGGGAACAAGTGGAATAATAACGTTGATTAATAACTGCAACATGAATAGTTCAAGGGTTGTGTGAGCTGATACATATGCCACAACACAAGTTCTGTCACAGACAAAATTTCCAATATACTGTACTAAGTATATTCAATCATAAAATTAATCATTACAGTATTTTCATAACTATTCACTTTGTTAGCACATTAGTCTCAACTTAAGGGGATATGACAAGTTACTGCTAGTGAATCTGATAAGGTTTTACTGTAGAGTACTGTATTATGAAAGATATCATCTAGGAGAACCAAGAGATTCATGTTCTAGAGTTCCAGGACAAGAATATATCTGATAATAATATGGTTATAAACATGATACATCGTTCACTGTTGTTTACTCCTTAATGTTTTATCATCAGTACTATACACCTATTTCCATTTAATGTGAGTAGCATAAATAACATGCAATTAGACCAAAACAAAGTACATACAGGGTATTCCTCTCCCTCAGTTAGTAATTCAAGCAAGCAATTTCAGCATTAGATTATAGCAACTTAGTTCATTTGGCATGTTTTCCTAAGAAATGGTGGCAGTAGTGTTAACAGTATACTGTACTGGACATGAACTAACCTGCAATGAAACACTTAGTAAGAATCTAACAAGAAAAATTATGAGAGCAATAATAATAATAATAATAATAATAATAATAATAATAATAATAATAATAATAATAATAATAATAAAAATAATTGTAATAAAAATAATAATAAGACAGTAATAATAATAATAATAATAATAATAATAATAATAATAATAATAATAATAATAATAATAATAATACAGTAATAATAAAATAATAATAATAAAATAATAATAATAATAACAATAATATTAATAACAGTAATAATAATATTAATTATAATAATAATAATAATAATAATAATAATAATAATAATAATAATAAACTACAAAACATCCTGGATAAATGATAATTAGTGACAAAATAGACTGGTAAAATTCTGGGTACAAATACAGTAACACCCCGCTTAACACGGTTTCGCTTAGCGCGATTCACGTATACGCGGTGCCTCACCAGAGCTGAACTTTCACTTAACGCGGGTTTTTTCCACGTATACGCACAGAGTGTCCGGCTCGAGAGCTATTTTTAGATTCGCACCCACCCCCCACCCTGCCTGAGTGCCTGCCTGCCTGTTTTAGCTCATAAAATTCATACAAATTACCCGGCCAGAATATAATTTACATTGCTGGAATTCTTACAATTTGGTGATCATTTTGAATATAAACATCATAGATTTTGCATTAGACATACAAATTTTAGATGTAATGTTTACTCTGAGTAAATATGTTATCTTTTGTGCAAAATATATGACATTTATATTCAAAATATTCCTGGTCTTACAAGGAATCCAGCAATGTCAATTATTATCCTAACTTTAGTTTGAGGTATTATTTATTACTAAAAAGGTAAATATTCTGGTTTTCCCACACATCTGGTAGGGAGGACCGGCCGACCATCTGTTACCAGTGTGAAATATTTTTTATTTGAAGATATTTGTTTTAGCTCATAAAATTCATACAAATTACCAGGTCAGAATATAATTTACATTGGAATCTTATAATTTGATGATCATTTTGAATATAAACATCATAGATTTTTCATTAGACATACAAATTTTTAGATGTAATGTTTACTCTGAGTAAATATGTTATCTTTTGTGCAAAATATATGACATTTATATTCAAAATATTCCTATTCTTACAAGGAATCCAGCAATGTCAATTATATTATCCTAACTAATCTGAGGTATTATTTAATACTAAATGTTAAAATTTAGTTTTTTCTCAACATCTCTTGAAGGGAGGATTGGTGGGGGTGTGAGAGGTTGGGACAGACCAGCGGTTGGAAGAGGCAAGGTGGGGTACATTTGATTGACAGATGAGTAGTGAAGAATATTTTTTGTATTAACTGAAGATATTTGTTTTAGCTCATAAAATTCATACAAATTACCCGCCAGAATATAATTTACATTGCTGGAATTCTTACAATTTGGTGGTCATTTTGAATATAAACATCATAGATTTTGCATTAGACATACAAATTTTAGATATAATGTTTTACTCTGAGTAAATATGTTTTATCTTTTGTGCAAAATATATATGACATTTATATTCAAAATATTCCTGGTCTTACAAGGAATCCAGCAATGTCAATTTATTATCTAACTTTAGTTTGAGGTATTATTTATTAAAATTTAGTGGTTTCCCCAAAAATTTCTCAAGAGGAAGAGCCAGCAGTGTAGTGTGAAAGAGGGGGGAGGAGTTGAGTCCATTATTTGAATGGACATTAACTTAACAACTGTATTTCTCTATTTCTCTTAAGTATTAATTGTGTGCATGTACCATCATAAAATTAAGATGTTATTTTACTAGAACATAGGTATTGTGTCGAAAAAAGTGGAGTTTGGGGTCGAGCCAGTTTCTATTGGAATT